TAACCTTTTCGAGCCGATGACCCCCTCGGAGCTCTCGGCCCGTCCCCCAGGGCTGGCTTCTCGCCCGGAACTGCTTCCGACAGCTGCGCTCCTCGAGGTTCGAGCTCCGAGGCTTTGTTCGTCTCTGGTCTTTCTTGGGGGCCTCCTCGTCGCCAAGGCCGGATCGCCTTCCAGGGTCTGGGTGAAAGGGCCGCGCCTTCCAGGGTCGAAGGAGTTGTCTCGGAGGAGGAAAAGGTACCCAGGCCCATACCGCTACCCTTCCCTCGTTTTTCCCTTGTTGGGCCTCCTGGGAGGCACTCGTCGCCACGGCTGGATTCGCCTCGAAACTCTGGCCAGAACGCACCCCAGGAGAGGCCTGGGGATGGAGATGTGAGGTTCGGGTCCCAGGAGGCAGTTTTTCTTCCGCTTCCGGCAGGCTTGCTTGCATGGGGGAGAGGCGAGGCCCGACAGGAAACCTGGACTCCAGACACATTGGGACTCACTTGCACGCCTTATCTGTCTGGCGCTGTTTGGCATGGCGGCGGCGGAGGGGGTGGGGGTGGGGCGGAATCCCATGCAAGTAAACTTGCCAGAGCCGAAATACAAACGTGCTCCAAACATCGAACGTCTCGGGTCCCAAGGCGTCACTGGGCGCCAAAAACTGCAAATATATTTAGGTCGAGCATGCCCCCCTACAGCCCGATTTTGGACGACAAATATTCAAAGCATATTCCCAACATGCTCAAACATAGTCAAAAAATCGTCTCCAGACTATTTTTGGACTATTTTTGAATATTCCCCACCGTAGAGGGAGAGGCCCGACTTAAGAGAATAGATCCCTCGAGAAGCCTGAGGGCCAGGCCTGCCCGCACCCGAGAGCGTCCCCGCACGCGTCTCCTGCGCGACGAAGGGACAGCCAGAGCTGCTGGGCCTAAGTCGGGGTGCGTCCCTCTACAGGGGGGGGAACTTTCAGCAATAGTCAAGAATCGCATGGGAACGCTTTTTTATTATTTTTTTTATTGTTTTTTTGTGTTTTGTTGCTTTTTGTATTAAAACCGATAAACCAACACACACACATATATATAATAATATATATATATATAATATATATGTATATATGTATGTATATGCATACATGTAATATATACATATATATATATATATATATATAATATATATATTGTTGTCCTGAATATTTTGATCATTTTAGCAATATTTGTTTTGGGTATGTTTGATTTTTCGTCCAGACTCCGCCTGCGTGGGGGACGGGCCCGACCTGATGCTGGGCCGAAAGAACCGCCCCTGGTCCCGCCTCGCCAGCGGGACCTGCGCGCGGCACTCTCAGCCGAGCGCCGCACGCAGGTCTCGGGCCGGACGAAACGGGGGGATTGGGAAAGGAGGGGTTTCGAAATCTGCTGCATGCAGCTGGTTCCGGCCCCACCCAGGGGCCCATTCCTCGATACGTAGCCGCCTCTGGCGCGGGGAGGCGCCGGGAAAATCAGTTACGTGAGCTGATTCTCAAACCCGTCCCTTGCGATCCCCCCCCCGTTCGCTGGGCCCGCAGGTCCTCACCGCCGGCGGGTCGGGCCGGGCCGCCGCGGGCGGCTCCCGCACGCCGGGCGGCGGTGCCTGGCCTGCCGCCTTCGCCCCCGGCAGCCGTCGGGCCGCGCCGCCTCTCGTGCGGGGGGCCTGTGCGTGCCGAGGTCCTGGGGGCCGTGCAGCTGTGCGGCAAGGGCGCGGCCGCGCCGAGGAAGGAGGCGGCGCCGAAGAAGGAGCCGGTGGCGAGAGGGGGGAGGAGGAGGAGGAGGAGGAGGAGGAGGAGGAGGAGGAGGAGGAGGAGGAGGAGGAGGAGGAGGAGGAGGAGGAGGAGGAGGAGGAGGCGGAGGAGGAGGCGGAGGAGGAGGAGGAGGCGGAGGAGCGGGGCTGTCGAAGGAGGTCAGAGGCCCCAAGGTCGACATGGGCATGAGTCATAAGCGGCGTTGCGCGGGTGTTATGTGCGCTATGTTTTTTTTGCTTGTATTCTAGTCTCTCTATCTTTCTTTCTCCCCTTGGCACTCCCTCTCTCTCTGTCTCTCTTTCCTTTGTCCTGCTCCCTCCTCCTGGGCTTTTCACCTCCCCCTCCCGCTCCCTTCAGTCTTCACGTTTTATGCGTCTCGAAGTCGCGATGCATGTTTGAATCCTCCAAGAGGCCATGGCCCCCCCCTACCTGGTTTCAACCTAGGCCCCGACGATCGTCCGCAGAGGTGGTTCGTTCCTTCCTCCTGGGCATTTCCATTGTTCTGCACCTGCTTGTCGACGACAGCTGGCCGTGGTTTTCGCTATGAGTGGCCATCGCACGCGGCGTTCCCCCTGGGAGATGGCAGTTGCTTGTGGGTTTGTTCGCTACTGGGGAAGAACTCGACGTGGGGCGTTTCAGAAAGGACCTTGTCTTTGATAGATCGAGAGGTTGTCATCTCTTCCTCGGCGGATGGCTGGCGGAAGGCCGCGCTCCTCCAGACTTGGGAAATATCTTCGGCGGCAGGCATCCCTTCAGCGGGCCTCGCAGCGGGGAAACTCCAACAGAGACCCAGACGCTCCAACAGACGAGGCCCAGACGCTCCAACAGAGAGCGAAGAACGGAGAGCAGATCGATACAGGCAGCCTGGGCAGCCCGCACGTGAGAGCGTGGACGGAGACGTGCGTGCACCTGGGCAAGTCACTCGAGGAGGGTTTTTTCAGGTTCAGGGTTTTCGGAGCGGCTCGCATAGACAAAGACCTTCGGATATCCGCGCGGATTTTTAGGAGGAGGAGGAGGAGGAAGCGCTGGATCCCCCGCCGCCCCTTTTAGGGCCCCTTCCCCCACGCGCGGCGCGAGCCGAGGCGCCAGAGACGCCCCCTGAGGTGTTCTTTTTTTGGGGGGGGGGTGCGCGGACTCTTCCAGACAGGCTTAAGTTTACAGTGGGGGCCCATGCCAAGAAACACCCTGCTTGCCTCCAGGGTGCCCTGGGTTTCTTGGGTTTCGATGGTTTTGCAGTGGAGAGCGTGACGTTCCCACACGATCGATGGGCGTCCTGGGGTCTCAGGGTCGTGTTTCTTGTGGACGGTCTCTTGTGGCCGGGCCCCTGTGTGCCGTCTGATGTCTTCCAGAAGCGGGGCGGAGTGGGGTGGGGTGGGACGAGGGGGGGGGGGCAGAGATTTGCCTGCCACCGCATTTTGACTGAGGGTCACTCGCGCACTGCCGCCGTCTGCGGCCCGAGGTGGCCGAAGAGCCCTACCGGCGGAGCTGGTCTCGGCGCGAGCTGTGCGTGCACCCTGATGCACCCTGCTCGGCGTGCCGCTCCCCCGGCACGGTCGTCCCCCGGTGTGCCTTCGCGGCTCCCCCACGGCAGCGCTCGGACGCGTGCATGTCTTCTCGGCGGGGAGTATCGAGCAGCAAGAGAAGCACGCACGGAGCCGAAGCATGCACGGGGAGTGGACGTCCGAGCGACGGCAAGTCCCTGGTTGGCTGCCCGGAAGCCTGCCCTCTGGCCCCTACACGCTCGCGGTCTTCACGGTCTGTGCGTGCTCCTCCGCGCGGGGCGCCCTTCCGCCCCCCCCCCCCTTCGGCCTCGCTTGGCCCCCGTCCCGTGCCTCGATTCGCCACGGATGCGTCCCGCCGCTGCTACGACCGCGTCTTGAGCCCAAGTCGCCGCTGATCCAAAAGTTTGCATTTTCTGATGCTGCCGCGTCAAAGCGAGGGAAGAGGGTCGGCGGCGAGCGAGGGGGGAAGTGAGAAGGGGCGGGCCTTCTTAGAAGACCCAGAGGCCCCCGTGGAGCCTCCCCCGGAGACGCAGGAGACTTCTCAGAAGGCGCGAGGGCCTCTGACAAGCACCCCCCGCCTTCTGAGAAGGCCTTCTCCTTCTCACTTCCCCCCCCTCGCTCGTCGCCGAGAGGAGGAGGAGGAGGAGGAGGAGGAGGAGGA